AGTGGCTCAAGGTGCAGGCCCTGAGTTCAAACTCCAGTACCACAAAAAAAAAAAAAAAAAGAAAAGTTCTCTTGCCAGTTCCTGTGACTATTCCCAACTTTCTCCCTTCTTTTCCTTCCTTTCTCTTACCCAAACTTCCCACCTAAACTGCCTGTAGCCTATCTCTTTTTATGCCACCAATCATTTGTCTTTTGCAACCATACAAGAAGAGCTAGTACTAATGTCAAGGCTGGTGACAGAGACTGTTCTGTGGGTGCCCATGAGCTGGCAACTTTAGACCAAGCTCCTTAGCATCCCCTAGCCAGTTAGTTAATTCATCCGACATGGTTTGTTTTGCAGTAGTCCATGTCAGGGAAGTGTTCACACTTCCCCCAGCATGGAGTACTATATCTCACTTGGTCAGTCACTGACCAGAAATGGGAAGAAATGATTCCCTAAGAAATACCTTCCATTATGTGGAGCAGTCAAGCAGCTAGTTACAACTGTCAAGCTTATACCTAGGGAGAGAAGAATGAGTGTGGAGAGTCTGTCTTCCTGGAGATTAACCTAAGACAGAGCTAGCTCTCTGCCTTAAAGTTGAAAGAGAAGGAAGAAAAGGGAGACTCATTTTTAGGGACTCAGTTGGGTAAAGTTTAAGAAGCCTCCAGTCCAGCCTCCCATCTCCATGAAAGTTCCATGTCCCAGGCTCTGCTAGGGTTCAGCCCACATCTTCTGCACTTACCAGCCTGCTGGGCACTTAGACCTTCCTTGTATCACTAATTCTTTTTGTTGCAGGATCTTCTTCCCACCTCTTACCCTCTTAAGTCATTTGGTTGTCTGTGGGCCAGTTGGGAGATCTCTACAGAGTTAATCTTAGGGTGGTAGTCACACTTGCACTTGGCCTCAACGTGTGCATGGAATCCTCTTGGGCCAGATGGTGTTTGGGCTTGGTGAAGCAATTTGTAAGTCACTTCAGTTTGTATGTGAAGTCCCAGTGTGTGTGACCATAAAAGATCTACATAGAGCTCTGCCAGGCCTCAGAGAACCAGAGGGAGGTAGTTGAAAGGCAAGCAGCAGGAAGAACTGGGCTTTACCAAGATGGCAACCCCAGGCTTCCCAGTTTTGCAATGTTTGGATTTACTTCTGTTCTTTTCTGAATACCTGTGTGATATGCACCTCTGACTGTCCCCTTTCTGGACTGTTTCAGAAGAAGCAGACCACTACAGCTTTGGGGCAGGCACGCTGTCAAGGAAGAAGAAGGTGCTGGTGACACTGAGGGATGAGGGTCTACGCCGCCGAGCCCACCTCGACATTGGCATGCCACATGACTTCCGCCCAGTGTCCTCCATCATTGATGTGGACATCCTCCCAGAGACACACCGTCGAGTGCGGCTCTACAGGCACGGCTGTGAGAAGCCGCTGGGCTTCTACATCCGAGATGGTACCAGCGTGCGAGTAACCCCCCATGGGCTGGAGAAGGTTCCAGGCATCTTTATTTCCCGCATGGTGCCTGGGGGCCTCGCAGAGAGCACCGGATTGCTGGCTGTGAATGACGAAGTCCTGGAGGTGAATGGGATTGAGGTGGCCGGGAAGACATTGGATCAAGTCACAGATATGATGATCGCCAACAGCCACAACCTCATTGTCACTGTCAAGCCTGCCAACCAGAGGAACAACATTGTCCGCAGCAGCCGCACCTCAGGCAGTTCTGGCCAGTCCACAGACAGCACTACCAGCCACCACAGCCTGCCAGCTGCTCACGTCCTGCAGAACTTCCACCCTGAGGAGATGGAGAGTGATGAGGAGGCCGACATTGTCATCGAGGGGGCTCTGGAGCCTCAACACATTCCCAAGATGCAGGGTGTGCCTCCAGGCAGCCTCTCTCGGGCCAACGGCACCAGCCTTGCCCACAGGCTGCATCGGGACCTAGGTCTGCACAACTCCGGGCGGGAAAGCAACGGTAGCATCCACAAACTTCTCAGCTCCCTGAAGTCGGACCCCCGCCACAGCCTGGTCCTCCCCCAGGGAGGAGTAGAGGAGCATGGGCCAGCTGTTACTCTCTAGGGCCCAGGCCACTGGGGCAGGCTGAGGTCCCAGACAGTGTTGCCATATGACCAATGAGTGGGGGATTGTTGAGGGGAGCTAGCAACACTATCAAATACATAGTGATTCCAGAAGTAAAATCTCCAAAGGGAAATATTTTTTAATTTTTATGCCAATTTTAAAATTAAGAAAGCTAATTGTGTACTTTTCCCCTGCTTTTTTATTTCAACTTCTGGACAGGAACCGAAAATATTGTATTTTTGTAGGATTTCTCTACAGAACCTAAAATACACACACATGCACATACATTCTGGGTCAGATCTAAGTGCCCATTGCAAAATGGAAAACCTAAGTGCAGAAAAAATTTTATTTTTAAACTGTAAAAATACTTCATTTTTTAAATGAAGCTTTAAAGTAATTTTTTAAATAACAAAATTCATTTTTTAACTTGTGCAAAAACACACTCTGATGCCAGACCACTCTGCTGACCAGCAGTAAGACTGGTACAAAAAGGCAGACTTTCCAAGGGATAGGTGCACCCACACCTGTGACAAGTGCAACTATAGGGGAGGAATTTCAATTTTCAGTGTTTACAGCACACTGCATTTGTGGAGTCTCCCAGGACATTATGTCAGGCCACCATCTCCTGCCTCACAGAGTCAGTGTAGAAAGCTGACAGCTCTGCAGGCTGGAAGGTGAGGCAGCAATGCTGAGTGTGATTAAAATCCAGTGTTTATTCTGAGATATGTCAGTTTTCCTTGGGCTAACTGGCTCTAGGCCAGTTTTTAAGATGTTGTCAGTAGAAATGAGGGCCGAACAACATATGCCCCCATAGAGCCTGCATGAGTAGTCAGGTGGATGTATGTATTGTATCTTTGCTTTTAAAACAGCCGATTCTTTTTACAAGTACAATATGTACTTCTAATGCTAACTTCCATTCCTTGAATAGTGGTCAGTGGCAGGAGTTCTTTTAACTATAAAAAGTCATGTGAAACTTAATGGTCTTGTCAAATACTAAATTTATTGTCACTTTCCTTTGGCCTTCTTAGAGGTTACTCTTGTTTGATCCATTTAAACTTAATGAAGTGTATTTTCTGTTTGGATACAATGTCAGGAGAAAAAATGTCACATTTATGCTTTGAGAACAAACTTTGACCAAATGAATCCTTCATACAGGTAAAAGTATTTTCCAGGGTTTCTGGCCACAAGCCCCGCCTGCTGCCCGTGTGATCCAGCACCACCTGCTGGTCAGTGGCAGAACTGTCCTGATTTCACAAATGTCAGATGGAAAGGGTGTGTCTCAACATCTTCGTTTGTCCTGAATTCATTAAGTGAAAATTCTTTTCCTTTGGAAACTATTTATTGAGCAGAAATAGGTTTTGCTGAGTAATTGTTTCTGGGACCCAAGTCTGAGTTTCTTATTTGTGTGCATAAGAACCCTGACCACCCGTTTCTGAGCAATGAAGAGCAAAGTGCTCCCCACCACCGTCTCAGACTGCTAGAGCGTCTCCTTACTGCAGCAGTCAGAAATGTTTTTTACCAAGTATTGTAGAACCTAAACTCTGATACTTAGTTACCACCACAAAGAAATGTTCCCTTATTAAGTTATTGCTGGTTGTTGAATATCTGTTGAACAACTGGGTTTGCTATCAAGAAGGAAAGTTATATTTCTTACCCTGTTTTAAGTTGTTCAGCAAATGTGAATCCATTTTTTAAAGAAAAAAAGCTTACTCTGAACTTTGTGTGCTATTGCTTGTAATTGTAAGAATTACAAGCTGCTTGGAGTAACTGCTTGAGTGTATTTTTCTATCCAGGTCTATACTTCTGCCATTTTCTTCTTTAAAAAAAAAAAACTGTGTCATTATATATTAAAGTTTTTTGTTTTATATATCAGAGAATAAAAATGTTTTTTTCTTTTGAGTTAGCAAAATGCATTACTAATATATTTCAATTGTAGGTATTGGTACCAATGGCAGAGAAACTTGCCACTTAGAAGGACTGACTAGTATTTATCAAGATCCTATTATGTGCCATATCCCCACACCCTATGAGGTGTTATTCCCATTGTACAAACGAGAAAACAGACCAAAGCTCAGATTGATAGGTGGTCCAGAAACTTTCTTTGAAGTCCTTTTAGAGAAGGTTTCCTGAATAGTTACCTAAATACACTGGTTTGCAAAAATTTTCCCTAGTGTTATCATTCTGATATTACTAAAAGTATAATGCTTTCACAAAGATTCACTCAAATCACAAGTATTGTGATGGCAGAAAACACCAGTAATTCATAGAGGAAACACACACACCCTGAGAGGAGTTTTACACATATTGTTCACCTTATGAATCCCATGGCGACCCTAGACTGCAGCCTGCTCAGAGCTGGGGAAACATAAGTAGCTGGACAGTTGACTCCTGCTATCAACTAATGGGATGGTGCTGTGGTGGTAGGAGGAGGAACCAGCACTGGACACATCCTCTGAACATGCCCAGTTTCATGGCCCCTCACATGGTTCAGTGCAAGATACTGAGTGCAAGCAGAGGCCACAAATCCAACCTGTCACAAATCCAATCCATGTCACAAACCAAGAGCATAGATGCTGCCCAGGGAGCCAACCCAGGTGAATTGTTTATCATAAGTCTGGGAAGTTATTAAAATCTTCTGGCTTTACATGAACTGACTCCAGAGAAGGAGTGAGGTCTTACGGCAAGTTGCACAAGTGACATAGGCAAACATCACCTCTGTCCGATGTTTGTAAAAGGATGCAAATATGAGTCACTGTGGTAGACAGGTCCCTTCTTAATCCTTGCATGAGCAAGAACGGGTCCTAGAATGGATGACAAGTTCTGTTGGGGAAAAATCTCCATCTCGGCAGTAAAGTACTATGAAGCGTCTTATAGTGTTCTAAAGATTAACCAGTCACTGTGATCAGACTTAAGATGCAAGACTGAACTCTTCATGTGAGAATGAGGAACATTTACTGTTTCCCAAAAGCATGGACCACATAGCTCATTTATAGCTTCATCTCCTGAGAAAGTTAACAGATCAGCTTAAGCACAGGACTTCCCATGTCAGACTGTCTGGGGCTAGTTAAACAGCACTTGGTCCACTGTGGGGCTCAGGACAGATCTGGGTGGAGTTCAAGAATCTTTGTCTCCAACAAGTCCCCAGTGATGATGCTGATGCTACTGGCCCAAAAATCACACTCAGAACCCCTGACCAATCCCTCTAAAAATGTTTCTCAAGAAAATAGGATTTGGCCATGATCTTGGGCTTGGTGGCAAAAGACCAAGTATTATGTTACATACTGACTGTGGTTTAAATTCAGGCAATCTGGAAAAGCTCCTAACACTCTTCCATACTATCCTTTGCATTACTTTTCACTCCCCACCACCATGTTGCAATACCACAAAACCACCTGTTCTTTCTGACTCTAGCATGCATTCTTAGAGCAATTATCCCCTTGGGACAGAGAAGACCCAAGCCAATATGTAGATGTATTCTTCCCTTATCTTTGCTCACTTAAGTTTTATTCTCCTTTGTCTTCATAAAAAGAGATTAAAGAGACTTAAGGTATCAAAGATTTTTTTCAGTCTTGAAACGTTTCTAATGAATGGTGTAAATTCTTACTATGTTGATGTCACGTGACCTATCAAACATGATAGCTGTGCCACCTATCAAACAGGGTCTGTTTCACAGCACAAAACCAAGGTACATCTTCCAGTGAATCCCAACAAGCCCACTGCAAGGCAGACAGAAATAGGAAGATCAGACATTGACCATGACCCACATAGGGCTTTCTATGTAGTTCAAAATCTACCTGCCACACCCAATTCTTGAACCAAGCAATCACATGTGAGAGGTCAGAGTCCCGCATCTACCTGCACAAACTCTGACTAAAGATGCCCAGTCGCAGAGACAAGAGGGTCAGGGTCAGCACTCCACCTCCATAAAGGTGCTGGTTACAGATGTCCCAAGAAGCACTGCATCATGTCTTACCATGGTTTTATGTCTATTCTTCCTATACCAATGCAAGCTCTTCATTCAGATTGTCATGTTCTTTCTGACATTCTGCTATTGATTGTTTTATATTGTGCAGCTCTTTCCATGGGTCTTATACCTGAGAAACAGGTAATACCTAAACAAAGTGCACTGTGTATAATTTGCGAAAAAGCAAACAAAACTAGGAGGAGATGGTGAGTTTTTATCTACTTTCCAGATGTGGACATGAAGGCAGGCTGCTATTTCCACCATATACAATGATTTCTGAAGCTACAGCCAATCAGCTGCTTCCAGAAGCACAGTGTTGACCCACCTGGACAAAGCCATCCTACACCTCTGATCATGCCGATGGAGCCTCGGACCTTCACTACTCCCATCACTGCAGACACAGCTCCACCACAGCCATGACTACACAGAAAGGGCAGTTTCTTGTGTCCAGGCTCCTCTCAAGGAGTGGTTTAGCAGGTTTGAAGGGACTATTACCTGCTCAGCATGGACCACAGATGGAAAATCAGTGAGAAAAAGGTAATGCTTTCCCTTTGTTTGTCAAGAGCCTTGGATTTGACAGCAGTTTGGAAAGTCTCTCAGATGGAGACCCCTACCACACAGCCGAAGTGGAAACCTGATTCATTCTTGCTGGTACCCACTCACCAAGATCAACCTTGTCTCCCCCAAATACTCACACTCACATGTCTCCTCCCCCTACCTCAGCCCACAGCAACCAGTGTCTGTTGGTCTTCCCCACCAGAGCAAATCCTGCAGGCTCAGAGCAGCAAGTGGTAACTTAGTGAGGAAAGAAGTACATTTCCAAGAGCTGTGCAACAACTGGCAAGAGAAGTGAAGAGGGACAGGACACATATCACCCTGCACAGGTGGCTAGACTGTGGCAAACAAGAAGGGATACCACAAACATCCCATCAGGTACCACAGTGTACACACAAAGGTTTTCCATCTGTGTTGCTGTCACTTAGGCATGCAGGCTTCACACCTCCTCATCCCTCCGTCAGAGCTAGCTACATGACACCTCGGTGTCTGCACCAACCAGGGAATGAGCACCTGCCCTAGAAGTGGAGACACCTTCTCTGCGCTAGGGGGGCTTTGTGACAAACAACCTGGACTGCACTGCTACCTCACAGCAGGGCTGTCCCTTCTGTGCTTCAGCACACTAGCCAGGAGCTTCCTGTGACACAGGCTCTAACCCAGCACCCTCAGCGTCTGTTCCCTGCCTCAGCCATCCCCTGTTCCCAGAGGCTCGGGACACCGCCTCTGCTACATCTCCCAAAGCAGCGCTTTTTCTGAGGACAGCACTTCCTAATAGGGTGGGCTCTGCCATCCCTGAAATGATGGCCATGCCATTCTTTATTCCTCTCTCAAGATCACAAAACCAGTGAAATCAAATCGGTTTGAAACAATCTAATCCCAATACCTTTCATCACTGCACTTGGGCCAAGCCTCTACCCCTAACCCAGCCCTGACTGGAGGTAGGTGGAGATAGGAGGCAGAGAAGTGTGGGTGAAAGGGGACTCATAGCCTTCAGGGAGGGTTGTGAAGACAAAACAGTGCTACCTCAAGGGGTTAGCATTCACGAAACCCAGCAGACTGACCTTCCTGCTTGGAAAGGACAGAGACAGACTGGTTTGTGCCCCACCCTAGGCACATGGATAGGGAGTCACTCACCTTCTATCCCAGGTCAGAATCCTTCAACTTCCAGGGGCAGCTGGTGTTTCCTCCCCAGCTCACATCACTCTTACAGCAATGGCTCACGTTAACATGTGTTCTCACACTGGTATGTCTCAATTCCCTCAACCCTGAAGAAAGGCAGCGGTGTCATCGTTTAAAGCCAAGGAGACTCAGTTCATGGAGGAAGTACTCAAGGTACTTCCTCCAAGGACTCCAAGTACTCAAGGTACTTCCAAGTACTCAATGACTCAAGGTCATGAATCCAAAGTCTATGCTCCTTAGGACTGGTGCTCCACAGAGGCACTTGGGACAGAGCCTGAAGGGTCCTGAGAAGTCCACATGCATATAATTCTCATATCCTAAACCAAAGGTCTACTCATGCAGACCTTTTTGGCCCACTGTCTCCAAATGTGCCAACCCAAACTATCCACAAAGTGCTGCCAACAATGTGAATCACAGACACACAACCTCAGCAAAGCACCCGAGGGCATCCAGACAACTCACCCTGACAGCACGAAGCACACACACACAGTATGAAGGACAGGGCAAGACAGTGGCTGCCTGGAGGATGGGATGGTGGTGACTTTTTTTTTCTTACTCTTTGAAGTTTTCAGAAAAACAAGTGTGATCAATTTTGTAATCAGAAGGAAAATAGAGACTCCTATGCAAGTATAAGAGCAAGAAATGTGTATTCACCTGTTTTGTGTTACACCTGAGGCCCAGGTATAAATGAGTTTACTTAGCTTGCAGCTCTGGAGGTATAGGTGGGAGTGCTTAGGATAGTGAGGCCACATTACCAGGCAGAAGTCAGAGGGTGACTCAGGGTCAGGATCAGGCTTTTACAACTGGCTCTCACTGAAACGCTGAGTCCCAGAGAACTGTGTTAATCCATCCCAGAGCAGTACCTGCAGTGACCTGAGGACCTTTTACTAGACCCTGCCTCTTAAAGTTCCCCCAACTATCAACAGCACCACACTTGGGGCCTCCAGCACGTGAACCCCTGGAGGACATAAAACCGCCAGCCCCAGCAGGTGCCTTAGCTTCTTTTGAAACCTTTGAAAGGTTTCTGAAAGACAACAGAGCTTTGGTGTGTGTATGTGTGTTAACCACATGTTTTTTCCTATGATAAAAATAACATGCTCATTTT